GTGTGTGGCCGTCTTGCCACCGTAGTTTTCCTCGTAGCTATTATGAGGGCGTCTTTGACCGTCCGAACCTCATGTTGGTTTCTGAGGCAAATTGCTGCATCTCGAAGGCAGGTATTTTTATAAGGTGGTTGGCGGATAGCAGGGTGCTTCCATATCGGCATCTCCAGTTGGACATCACGGTCAATTGAGAGTGCTGTAAATTTGAGGTTGAACTCCTGGGCTACAGATATCATACCCTTCAGGTCGTCAGGTATCCTGTCTGACCTGGGGATGGGGAAATGAATGTCGTTTAAAAAGATATTGAGGATTTGACCTGGCCTGATATTTAGGTAGCTAGTCTCCAGGTATTTTCTGAGAATGAAGTCAACAAAATAGCACCACGATGGTCGGTCGTCTCCTTGGATGAGGTAGCATTGAAGATTCCAAAGATGAATTGCTTTGTTCCGAGAGGAGATATCCAGAATTCCTTTCCCTCCTTGATCAACTGGGAGGATCATTGTCTCCAGTGATACTCTGGCTGTTTTTCTGTCCCACAAGAAGGACCGTATCAATTTTTCAAGTGTGTCCTCAATGTCCTTTGGCATCCCTTGAACTCGGGTCAGGTATTGTGTTCGACCTCCAATTACCATACTAATGATGTGACGCTTCCCTTCCAGAGTCGGGTGTGTTGCTTGCCAGTGCATGAGATCGGTATTAATTTTTTCTAGGACAGAAAGCCATGGTGTGGTATAAGGGATGTTATTGCCGATCCATGCACCTAGCATGCGGCAGCTCTTGCCATCAGGCACAATTTTAATAGTTGGGTCGATGTCACCAATGGGGGAGTGACTGTTGATTCGTCTTTCTCCTATGACTTTCTGCCGATAGGAGGACCTCCCAAAAGGAAGGAGCACTGTTTTATGCTCATTGAATTTTGCAGTGGATGCAGCACACCAGAGGCGTAGAATGCTCCACAGAGTCTCCATGGAGTCAGTGGATTTCAGGTAGATTGTGGTGTCATCAGCGAAAAGTGATACCACTAAAGTCTTATTTGTTCCAGGAATGACTACTCCCTCAAGATCAGATTTCCGCAGTAGGCATGCAAGCGGTTCAATAGCCAGATTGAATAATAAGCAGGATAGGGGGTCCCCTTGCCTCACACCCCTGGTAACAACATATGGATCACTGAGTTCGCCATTGATCATCACTATAGTTTTGGCGTCAGTGTACAGACTTTGGATTATCTTTGAAAATTTGGGAGGGAATCGCATATGGTCTAGGACACGGAGAAGGTAATCATGATTAATTCGATCGTAAGCCTTCTCTTGGTCAAGGGCAATAAGTATACCGTCTTCTTCTGCAACTTCAGCATAGTTCAGCAGAAATTTCGCTAATTTGACCTGGTCTTCAATTTTCCACCCTTTCATGAAGCCCGCTTGGTCCAGTTTTATCAAAGAAGGGGCAACATTCATTAGTCGAATAGAATAAGCCTTTGTCATAAGCTTGTAGTCTGTGTTCAACAGTGTAATTGGCCTGTAGTTGCTAATGAGACCGGTGTCTCCTTTTTTGAACACGGGGCATAACCATCCCATGTTGAAGTTGCATCCATCGGATAATCCAAACTGTCCAATGTCGCGGTATAAGTCTGCCAGGAATCCCAAAATGTTAAAAGCCCCGCCTGGCTTGTCTTTATATTTTTTGTATTCAATGTCCATGGCTTTGAAAAATTCGTATCGGATGCCATCTAGCCCTGGGGCTTTGCCCTTGTTGGACAGTTTCAATGCATTTCGTATATCCTCTTCCGTAAGATTCTTGTTCATTTCATTGTATTCATTTTGAGATAACCGTGCATCACACTTTTCAAGCACTTCCTCAGTGCACATCATTCGACCATAGTCGTCGTTGGGAACATCAACATATTGTGTTGCCTCATGGTAATCCCGGGCCATCTTAGCCATTCGCTTTGGGCGAGTTTCGAAGCAGGGCACAGTTGAATCATTATCTGTTGTCTTAAATTCATTTATAGTGTTCCTCAGGTGATACTCCTTGGTGGAACGAGTCCAATAGTCAGTCTGCAGGCTTTCACCTTCAATGTCGTACCGAGCCTCTGACTGGTCCTTCTGACGGTCAGCTTCTTCCCTAAGATAGGTTTCAATCTTTCCCTCTAGGTGCAGAATTGCGAGATGTTTGTCCTCAGTAGGCATATCTGCATCATTGATAACAAGATGTTTCTGTGCCGTCCAGGTGCGGAGCTGGCGGGTTCTTCCTTTGACCAAGCGGGAGCATTTTTTACCTTCTGCAGTAAGGTCAATCTTGAATTTGTGCCAAAGGCTTTGGATGTTCTGCTGGGTTTGCCTCTCAGTGCGGTTCAACTCTTCCAGCTCCTCTGCGAGCTTCTTTGAACGGATAGAAATGTAGTTCATAAATCTTGGTGTTTTAAGGAGATAAATAGGTAAGTTCCAAATTCCTGGCCCATACTCCTCGTCTGGCCGGCATGTCAATTGGACAGAAATCAAATGGTGGTCACTGGCGATTAAACTAGGTTCAATTGACCAATTTCGATATCGTTTAAAACGGTCTACCAGTACATAGATCCGGTCAAGACGTGAACCAGATACATGTGTCTCATTCGTGGTTAAATTGGTGCGTTTTTGGAAGCAAGTGTATTCGTTCGCATCAGGAAATGTTGTACGCCAACCATCTTGCATGCGGAAGAGCGCCTTCAGGCATACAAAGCTCAGAGGTACTGTCTCTTCCTTGTTTGATGTATGATCTTTAATGTCTTCAACAAAATTCCAGTCACCCAGTGTTTCAGTTGGAAATGGAAGTTCTGGATTTTCTAAGTAGCAATGCCATAATCGGCCCCACATCCTCTCTCTTTCCAGAGGGGCGTTTGGGGCGTAAATGTTCAGAATGTTTATTGTTTCTCCCCGATGTGATGGGATAACAAGCATGATTGCATGGCCCTCAATGAGGACATACTCTTTCACATTTTCCGTGTCAACATATTTTTTGTTGAGAAGGAAGCTAACTCCAGCTGTGGAGTTAGGTTTTATCAGGTGTCCAGAGTTAAACAGTTTGAACCATTTCCCGTAAATGTTGTTGAACTGGCTAGCGGCAATATGATCCATGTGTGATTCTTGCCAGGCGAAAACACCTATCCTCTTCTCGTCAACTACTCTCTTCATGTAATTGAGTTTGTGTCCTGTGCTGCTCATGGATTTATTTTTATCTCTCCCATTTATATTTTGGGATGCAATTGTGACGTTCGAACGAGTGAACTTCGCTGAACGGGTAAGTTTCGGAGGTTTGTTCCTCTGTCTAATCTGTGCATTCAATTCTTCCCAATTTTCAGGGATAAGGTATTGCCTGTCTTTATTTTCTTGGCTTCTGTCTGATGTTACATGCAGCGAGTCGATATTGGCATAATAAGTTTGCTCATTTAAAAGTTGTGCTGCAGTGTTAGAATTGTTGGCATGGGAGTCGTTATACGTTCCCTCTACATCTCCCATAATTATATCCGGAATTTTATTTGTACCATTCGCAATACGGCCGTTTGTGTTCCACAGATCGGGAGTCGCCGCAGTTGATATGGGCATCAACCATGGTGAATCATGGTCTGTGGTAGTCATATTTTGAAGGTCTGTAGGGGAACATGGATGCTGCCCCTCGCCCGTCACTGTAGCAGTCAGAGCAGCAGAGCTGCTACAGAAGGGGCCGTGTGTTGGGTAGTCGGGGCTAGGCCCCGGATCACCCCGACTCCTGCTGATTTCACTCTCTGAACTCGTAGCCGGCAGGCACTGACGAGAGGGATGTACCACGTCCCCGAAACCCTCCCGTGAACCAGGAGGGCCCTCGGTACCAATCTGAATATTTGTGTTGTTTATAGGCATGTTTTGGGTGCGTTTTAAGACCGCCGTCGTAGGATTTCAATAATATTTCAAGCCGGAATTGTACCTCTCGAAAGGGAGTGTGGCATGTTGAGGGTTCCAGCTCAACAGATATGGGAAAGCAGCCACTGAGTTCAGATTATTTGCTTGGTGGGACCTGGGTAGTGAATTACTGACATTGCTGCCAACATCGTGGAGATGTGGCTGTGTACATGAGGCCAGCGGTGGTGATTACGCAATCACACTGCCATATCTACTTCAACAAATTGCGCGTTATGGGGGTTCCAGGTCAAGCAGTCACAGATTTCAGATGATTTCCTTCATGTCTCAATGCATCAAAGTCTTGTGTAGATTTGGTTCAGAGACCATAACTGGCAGATGTAGAAGAATGTATTGAAAGTAGTACATAAGAACATATGTGGTCTATTCTGCAAGCACTCATAGCAGGCAGTTTGGTGTTACAGAGGCTGAAGCTCGACGACATGGCACAGTTGTTCGAGGTTCGCATCAGAGGCACGACGGGCCGAATCACGTGATCTCGGCTCCGCTCCGGAATCCGTGGGAGGAGATTCAAACGCAGGTATTTCTCTCTACGGCTGCGAGCCGGATTGTACACGGCATACGACCGTTTCAGTACTGCAGCTCGTGTCGAAGGAACCTTATAAGGCCACCGACACTGGGACGGCACTTTCTATGGCCGTAATTGTGCCATGTAGTTCGCGTCGCATTACAGACATATATTTCCACCCTTACTTGGGGCCATGTTACAGCCCAGGTGAAAGCGAGAAAGACGAGCAGCACCCTCAGATAACCCTGGGATTTGTATCAACGTATCGACTGGTCCATTTGACCACAGAGTATTCGTGAATTCCAGTAAGTAGACCGGGAAATTCATAAAGGTTCAATTTGCCATCAAAGTCATTCTGCTGTCACGGGTGAACGAAAAACTGCACTTCAGGGCAACCCAATTATGGAACCAGTGGGGGGCTTGAACGTAGTATCCCCGAAATGCGCAGGAGCGACTAATTGAGCCATGCGAGGCAAAAGGAAGAGCAGCATCGGTTGATGCAATCAATATCGATGAAATGAATAATCTTGGCGACAACCTCACAAGAGGAGGGGAGCAAAACATGTTTCGACCCGGTTTCGAACTGGCGACCGTCTGTGTACATGCGCAAAGTGTGTTAGACAGAAGTGATACACCAACTACACCACCGAACCAACCAAAAGGGGTCTTTGGAGGCAATATTAATCCTGCGTTCCGATTGTCCATTGAGATTCGAGTTGATTTCGTCCCCTGTGGCCAGGCTCACCGCCATTCTGGCCTGAGAAAAAGTACCTTGGGTAGTTTAGCTCAAAGGCGCCGCGTGGATGTTGAGTTAGTAAGCCCAGCGTATCTTGAACACCCGCACAACTTTCAACAAACATTAAACAACAAGGATCTTTTGTTTCTCTGGCCGCCGCCTACTCTGATAGGTCTGCAGACATGGAATTTAGCGACACAGACGCTGTGTCGCGAGGAGAAAGGACAACAGTGTATGAATTCTCTCGAGTCAAGTATTTACATAACGAACACTTTCTTTCATTTGGCAGACAAGTGTCGGCTGCCATCGATTGGCACGGGCCACTGCGGTACAGGGGGCCATATCAATTGGATCGTTGAACTCAATTTAATATCCAAACCGCGCAAGAAAATGCCTCAACATCATCTTCCGATACCGCTGTGCAAGTAATCGAAAGACTGACTTGTGTCGAGTGCCACTTGTGTACACTGAAAAGTTCTGGAATCCCTGGCTCTGGAGGTGACATCTCCTGAGCTGTTCTTTTATCTTCGGGAATATTTCAGGCTATTCAGGTTCACATCGGAATCGGACACGCCAGGGGATGCCGAAGCGGACTGTGAACTGCAACTTCAAACTCCGCAATTCTGCCAAACAGGGATAATCAAGTTTCACAAGAAACTGCCATGCCAGACTCTCTTCCCTGTCGATGTACGCCTCTTTTGGCCGTGAACTACGCACCTTTGCAATCTGAAGCCACTCACGTTCGCAATATGATTTCGAAACACGAACAAGAATTTGAAGAAATCGACGTCGAGATCGCCATTCTTCTATCCAGACGGCAGGGTTTGATGAAGCATATCCAGGGCTTAAAATGCATCCTCTCCCATATCCATCGCCTCCCCGAAGAAATCCTCACCTCGATATTTATCCTTACGCTACCAAAAGCCGAGTCATGGTTCCCACACTCTGACACGGACAGTTACTATATGCCTGTGTGCAAGCGTTGGAGGGCCGTATCGCTGTCATGTCAAGCGCTGTGGTTACGTCCTGTCATTCCGGCCAACTCCAGGCTCTCAGTCGCCACGTTCTCCCGTCAGCTCTCATGCTCTGGGAATTCTCCGCTCGATGTACGTCTTTGGTGCAAAACGGACACCCCGCAGATGGCTGGCCTCCTTGAGGCTATTGTCCGGTGCTCTCAGCGCTGGAGTGCTCTTGATATAACCTGCAGATCAGACTGGACGGAGTTCAGGAATCAGCTTGATCATTTGAAGGGCAATGTCGGGCAGCTGCGAGAGGTGCAGATTGTGGGCATTTGGAGCAGCGAGGCTGCACAGTGGGGAGGTGATCAGTTCGAATCTTTCGCGGTAGCGCCACGGCTGCAAACCCTGACTGTTGCACATGTCCGCGATCCCGCTCAATCCCTCCTCCTTCCGTGGCATCAACTCACGAAGTACCGCAGCACCGGACGCGCAGACGATCATCTCAGAGTCCTCCGATTGTGCCCCAATCTCATTTCCGCTCAACTCTCAACGACAGACCACCTAGAGATCGATGATACGCAGCCCTTGGTGGTCCTGCCGCGACTTCGCAAATTATATGTCGTACCGGATCTTTTGCACCGACTCTCGTTGCCGGTCCTAGAGGAAATAGTCCTCGATCGGCAGCATCATGACCCAATCTTTCCGCTTCTCTCCCTCTGCCTCCGAGATAACCCGCCGTTGTCCTGTGTCTTCCTTCTTCCCGGTGCCCTGGTCGCTGCGACCGCGATTTCTCTATTAGAGCAGACTTCCACCATCACCACTCTGCGTATTCACGTGGCTGGACGAGACCCCGCACCCCAGGGTCTAGACGCACTCTTGGAGCGATTGAGCGTTGCACATGAACATCGCCCATGCATAGCGCCCGATCTTGTCAAGCTGACGTTTTCAGGCAAGAGCGAGGTCTTCGGAGACCGCTTCCTAGACATGGTCGAGTCCCGTTGGAAGCACGAATCTGGCAACCTCGATTGCGCGTGCCGGCCCCTCGAGCAGATAGAGTTCCTCGACCCAGGATGGCGTCGGCTTCGATCGGATATTGCACAGCGTCTTCGGGCGTTGGAAGAGGAGGGTATGCATGTTCGTATTGGGAGGCTCTCATTTGACTGGAACGCGATGGAGACGCAAGACTGGCGGTATCCCTGTCGGTCAATATCCTAACAGCCTTGCCAGTACATTTATTATTTTGGTTCACCGGTAAGTATTTTACCGCCACTTCAAATCTTTCCACCTCGATTGATCCCGGCACAGTGCCCAATACCCATGCTTCCTCCGAATTCCAACGTGGCGGCAGAGGTTTCCACGATGGGCCGCACCGAAAATTTTCAGAAGTGAGTTGAATTCTCGCCATCTTATCGAATACTGGCAAATTGAATGAATTCTGATTTGGGTGTACAGTATTTCCGTCATAATTGGCAATTTGAAAAACGACTTCGATGAGATTCTTGAATCGGATATGAGCACTTGGAATTAATTAAATACGACACTAGGGCGGCGAAAGCATGGCTGGCCGGAATAGCCTCAGCCTGACATAAGTTGGGATAGCCCAACTTACGAAAGTTCAAGGAAATTCAAATCTAAGTCGCTGTGTTATTGACGGGCGGGGCAATTTTGCCCTAGTGAAAAGTGTTGGAAACATTCGCAATGCCGCAACGGCTGGGAATTCCCGTGCCTTCAGTGCTTGTGAATAATGACGCACACAACAATGAGTCAATGACTAGAAGAATAGTCAGTATGTGTAAAGAGACCCATACAAAAACAACACACCTGTACAAGAACGACTAGCGCTGTGCTGGAAACTCACCTGTTAATAACATAGCAATAAATAGCATGCTAATAACATGTTAATAACATTTCTAGCTGGAGGCCTCCAGGAAGGCCTGCTATTTATTGCTATAAATTATAAAAGGACTGCTAGAGACGTCTCAGAGACTGTCTGAACGATATACAATAGTTACGACCTGAAATAAGCAAGAATTGGCTCGGATCAGACTTGAGATCATGCACGTGGGAAAATAAAGCTGTAAGGCCGACAAGCGGCAGAGCCCGGTAACGAGTGAACCGACATATCAGACCAAAGCTTATCTTCGCAGCTGAAGAGAAGGAAATACTTACACACTTCATATTACTCACAAGGATCTCTACTCTGTGGACTGCGCCGAGTACCGAGGAATTAAGCACATAAGCACAACAAGCAGAATTGCTCTGCAAAAGACTTACTCTCACCATAATCCACAGAGGATTCACTTCGAACCCTGATGCTACAATATCTTCAATGGAAGAAATCCATTTTGAATACACTTATACATCCGGGAACGTGAGTCAAGCAAGAAACATGGCTGGCAATTATCAAGTTCCATCGTGCAGGAGGCAAAGCCCATCTGAACTGTATTGAAGGTCAACATCATGGTTGCGAAGTGGCCCTGCAGGTCACCAATTCCATTGGCGCACCTTTTAATCATTGATTTTTCGACCTTTGTCTCTCCACCTTCACTCCGACATGTAACCGCACTCGGTTGATATCCGGACTTGTACTTAGCCTGTATCTCTTCCTGTGGACCACTAGTCCACCTCGTCTCAGACAGGCAAGCGGCGAGGATGTGCAGATCGGAGGATTTGCAGGTCGCGGTGCTTGGAAGGAGACAAAGACAGGAAAATCCCAGCCACCTCCGCACCAGTCAAGACGAGAGAGACATGAATAGTATTCTGAATGTCCACTTGCACTCAAAGACCGCTTTCTACCGAAACCAGAATTATGCCTCTACGAGTTCGGACATCTCACCGGGAAAATTCAAATGTGGGGTCGTGGGACTCTCGGAACTCCTGACCATACCTCATAGAATGCGCAAGTTCTCTAGCCGTGATTGAACTGCGTAAATCATTTATGGAGATATTGCTATGTACCACCGAACCTGACACAGTTGCGACAGTGATCCTTAGCACAATCGTCCTGGTTGCAAAGTATACACGTAGTATCCTTGAAATCTTATGCTCTGTACCATTACAGCAGGTTTAATTCATTGGATATGGGGTGTAATGTTGGTGAGAGGACTAATTGATTCTGTCTGGTGGCAAGGATCCACAGCAGGGCAGGGATGAATTTCATGATATTTGCAGACTCATCCGAGGTAGTGGAGGCGCCGAGAGGAATGTATAACTCAGCTTATTTTGTGCACTGGGATAATCCCTGACACCAGCCTTTATTATTTGGATTGCACGGTGTAGTACCTACCTACCTACGGACCTTATTCTGAAGGAATAACAATTGGATGCTGCTGCCCGAGATGCCCGAGAGAGCACATGCCTGAAGAGAATCAAAGGAGGCTACGGGAAGAATGCAGACCCATCTAACACAAGTAAATTAAGTAGGACCACTGTCCTGTAAGGTTGGTGCATCAGCCTCATCCAACCAAACAGATGGCTGCTCTGAAAAGAGGTGTCCCATATCAGACCAGCTAGTTTTCCGGGCAGTTCCTGGAGTGTAACAAATGCAGGACTACTAGTGCTATGTGTGCACACCTTGTCAAAGGCACTAAACTTGAATTTTCGAGATGGCACTGAGGTTAAGGCTGGGTTGAGGAGAGCGACACAATCGGACGATAGTCTAAGCATAATTATGAATGCAATCATCGGCCTACCTGCCGAACTCATCGAGCCGAGCATTTTTGGTAGCGAGAGATCAACATATCACTGCTGACGCAAAAACCGCTGACGAAAATGTGATGCACGGCCAAAATCGAAAAATCATGCTCCCTAAGACCCAGTAACTTACGTTACTGGGAATCAAATTTTCGCCGTGATCTCTAAATTTCAGGCTCTCGCAGAACTCATCTCACCCGGGAAGAAGGATGAAGATACGCCCGTGGTTGCGGAGCCTTCTCAGGTGACAGCGGCGGAGGCTGAA